TCAAGTCCCAAAATATCCCACAAATTGAGTTCACAAAGTAGCCATGGCAGCAGGTGAAAGCGAGAATTTGCGTCAAACAAAGGTCCAAAGCAGCTTCCGAGCTCACTAACGCGTTCTCCTCGAAAAATCTCACAACCTAGCCTCTTGAATCACCCAATTTGGAGCTCTATAGCTCAAGATGTTCAACTTTGAAATTTAGAAGAAAAGCTGAAAATGACTGTCTTATAGGCGAGGGTGCACCAGCGCACCAACAAATTATTTCTATTTTTGAAGTTTCCGATGGGGTGTTCGGGATTCGTTCGGAGCCCTGTGCGCACAGATGGACTATGGTACGCCACGAAATTCGACGTTCCGGACTCAATGACGTAGTCGGAATTTCCATACGAGGTCATTTTGACTGAAAGTGGGTCTTACACCCAAATACCATTTTTAGCCCAATTCCACAACGGGCCTCGGGATTAGATCGGAAGCCTCGGGAAGCAAACGAAAGGTCATTCTAGACCAAACTCGACATTCCAGAACTAACCGCGCTGACAGAATTTTTATCCGAGCGTATTTTCCAAGAATGTTGACCAAAGTTAACCTTGGGTCAAATTTCAAAGGCTAAAACGCCTAATGGTCCAAACTAGCACCGAAAGCCTCGATACTCGTGCCAATCATGCTACTAACCTAATTTCGTCATTCTGAAGCTGATGAAACCATCAGAATTCCATTCTGAGGTCGTTCACCTGACGTTTTGACTAAAGTCAACTATTTAAGTTTCAAAAGCTCCAAAACAGGAAACAGGCATAAAACCCAAACGAACGACTAGGCGACCGAACAGTTAGTGCCATCAAGTCATAAATGACTTGGGGTCGCTATATGAATGCTCTAAACAACGAAAAGGAGGCATTAATGCAAAAATGACCTGGAGGATCATTACAGTCCACTATTGATTTTACACAATTTTTAAGAAATTATAAATAAAAAGGTAGTTTTACTATATCTCTCTTTCAATATAATAAATACAATGTCTAGGGAAATGACTATAATTAATGATAAGTGTAAAGTGTAAACTGTAAATTAGGAATTAAGTGTAAAATTATTTATTGATTTCATAAAGTGGACAAGTATGATTGTATATCCCAAAATAGTATAGGGAATAACTATTGTTGAACAAATAAAATCTCTTTTTAATCTTGATATGCAAAAAATTGGCAATGGGAATGGAAATGATGGGGTCCTAGAAGATATATTATGAGTATTAGCTACATTCTACAAGAAACATTATTTTTTTTGGTTAAACTACAAGAAACATTAATTACTTGACCTACTCATAAAGTAATTGGAAATTTTCATTTTCCCACTCTAGCGGCTTTTATAGTATCTCCTTTTAAATTTTCCAACTGACTTGGTCCAACTTCTCTGTTTTCACGTATATGAAAAAACTATATAATGTCTTTTTGGGATTGTGAGTCATAAATGAGATATATATGTATATATATAATTAAGTAATAGTACTCATTACTCAAATGTTAAATATGCATTTGCAGGTACATCCAAAGTTACTCTGGGGATGTTAGGAGAGAGATCACTGGAGTATTATACCACGAAGCCACTCACGTATGGCAGTGAAATGGGAACGGTGGGGCTCCTGGAGGATTAATTGTAGGAATTGCTGATTATGTGAGGCTCAAAGCTGGTCTTGGGTCAAGCCACTGGGTGAAACCTGGCCTGGGCAATCGTTGGGACCAAGGCTATGATGTAACTGCTCAATTTCTTGATTATTGCAACAGTTTGAGAAATGGGTTCGTGGCAGAACTTAACAAGAAAATGAGAAATGGCTATAGTGATCACTTCTTTGTTGACATACTAGGGAAGACGGTTGATCAACTTTGGAGTGATTATAAAGCTAAATTTCGCACATAACTTAAGAAATCCAAATTAAATTGAAAATGAGAAACATCATCTATTGCCTTTGTACCAATATTACAAGTATTTGTGTCATGGTCTTGTACTCTTGTTGAAGATATTGTAGTAACAACAATAATATTATTACTAATAAAAATAAGCACAGGTTAGTTTTACGATTTGTTAGTTAATTTAAATTCCAGTGCAAGCATCCGAGTATATTTTTGCTGAAATTATTTATGATTTTTAGTTAATTTAAATTGCTTTATGTTAAAAATATTTAAATTTGTGAATTGGCTAAGTAGAATCGTTGGTTTAAGTTTAACAGAACGTTAAATAATCAAGTGAAATTTGATATTAAAAATATAAATTTTTAAAAAAAACAGATGGTCGATTTTAATTATGTATTCAAACTATGTTTAAAAAAAAAGGAAAGAGTAAGGATGGTAGTCATCCATTACTAGGCAGCAATTGTTGGTGCTTCTATTGTATTTCGTGGAACTAATTAGGTATGTACAAATGATTAGAGGTGGATTCAGAATTTGAAGGCCGCACACAGATGTATTAATATTATTTTAATTTAGGCGTTTTGCAAAACTTTCAATAACGATTAAGGAAAATGTCGAATTCGATTGACTACTAATGACTTAAATAATACTGAAAATATTAAATACAAATATGTAGATCATATATAAGTTCTAAGATAATACTTAAACTTTACTTTGCTATAGTATGAATTTAAGTCTTTAAGATAATATGTAGACTTTAACTTTGTTAAAAAAATTGAAAAACAATTGAGTGAGATAGCTCAATGGTAAAGTGGGTTTATTATACTGGATTGTTGAGTATGAATCTCCTATCTAGCAATTTTGATGTTACGGTTAAATAAGCCCTTTAAATTCAAAAATTATAATAACAGTGAAATGGAGTTTTAGCGGGGATCAACCCCTGGTCACGTAGTGGTCATGCGGGTGGGTGCATTGACTTAAACCAACATCCCAAGGTGCACTTCTAAGCTCTCTATGGGTGCATAGTTAGTTATATTCTAGTTTCTCAAAAGATATATACATATATACTCATGTTTTTTTTGAAGTAAACATGTGGACGTGCACCCCACCTATACATGTGGGTTCGCCTATGTTGATGACCTGTAATGACACAAAAGGTCATTTTTGGAATTCTTCATAAAATTACTGTTTTACCCCTCCCAATATTGATCCCGAGTTATTTATGATTGAATTTTGAAATTGCTTTCGAGTTTTGAGTTAAAAGTTGTGAATTATGGTATTTTTGGAAGTTGAAAGGATAAAGTTGTTAAAAAGTGATTTTTGGTTTCTTTTGGAGTTTTGAGTCTCGGAAGTAGAATTCCGTCGATTCCATCAATTTCAAAATGTGGAAATTGGTCTAGCTGAGTTGTTGGTTTCAAAGATTTGAGGTCTTAAGTTGAAAGTTTGTAAATTTTAGCCTTTGGGTTGTTGGTCAATATTCAGGGTTCGAATGCTCGGATTGGACTTTCAAAAATCTCATTGGTATGAGTGTTGGTATGAGTATTGTTATTTCCGAAATCTTATTGTGATTACTTGATTGGATTAGATTGTGTGGCTTTGGACATTGTTCGGAAAGGAAATGCTCAAGTGTTGGATCGACTTGAGCAAGTGAACTTTTTTAAACCTTGTAAAACTTGTAGAATCTTGTATTTTATCCTTTATTATGTGTTGGGGAATAATGAGAATGAGGTAAAGCGTTCAATTATTCTACTTGATTAATCTTAATGAACAAAAAATTGATTAATGAAAAAGGCAGCGTGTTGATAGTTGTACTTTGTGAATTGCCTTGTTGTAGAACCTAATTTGTTGATTGAAGAAATGCTTTGATGAAATTATTGTTGACTCAAATTTCTTGAGTTGTTGTCTCTTTCTAATGGTGTGAAATTGCTTATTCGCATTGATTTATGTGCACCGTAATGAAATATGTGATGATTATGCTGAAAGAAAATGGTTCCAGCAAGTAGAGCTGTCAAAATGGGCTTGACCCGTTAAGTCGGCCCAACCCAACCCTTGAATTAAGTAGGGTTGGACCTAATTTTTTTTGGCCCAGCCTCATTTGGCCCGCTAGCCTCGTAGGCCCAACTTGTGAGGCTTAGAGACCAGCCTATGGGCTATGAATGTTAAAAATATTTATTATAAATTTTTTAGTAGTGTTTTATTTTTAAAGATTTTGTCAATAAATATCTAAAAAATATAAAATGAAGTCTAACTCCTTTGTAGATCTTTTACATTTTAGGGCCATTAGCCCACTAAAATCAAGCCTATTTTTGTTTTTATGCCTAATTTTTCATTTCCCCTTTGTTGTCTTGTTTAGAAAAAAATGATCATGTAATATTTTTTGCTCGGATGAATCTTACGACGTTGTATCTTGGCTATTATGTTGGTTTGTAAGTATTCATTAAAGTATGTAATTCATACCTGAATTTTTGTATGTATTGATGTCGTGTTCATCAGACATCAACGTTCGATACTTTTAGATACTCTTATAAATCCTTCTAAGAAACCAATGTTGTTCACTTTTTGGGTGAAGGGTCGACCCGTCCCAACCCGTGGCCCGCTTAGGGCTGGGTTGAGTTCTATTTTATAAGCCCTTTAATTAAAAGAGCCAGCTTGTCCTAATCCATTTAACTCTATAGCCCGTTAAGGTTGGGTTGAGTTGGGTTAGGCCAATTCATTTTGACAGCTCTACCAGCAAGTGATATGATGTAACAAAAAATCAAAATATAATTTGTAAATTTATAAGCCATTAATTCATTCATAAGGGGACGTTTGGCCATGTTTATTATGAATCTGAAGATTTCTTTTTAAAATGAAAAATAATATCAGTACTAATTGATTGTGTTTGTCCATGAAATACAAATAAAAATATTTTTAAATTTTGTTTCATGACCAAACAAAGCGAAAAAACTTTTCAGGGTAAAAAAAGTGAAATGTGCAAGCCCACGTAATTTCTCTAGTGTGCAAAATTATTGGGGAAAACTGACCCTTTCACGTTCTCCATTTTCTTTGAGTAAATACCCTAGTAATACATTTAACCAATCGATACTTTTCCAAAATCCAACAATGGCGATGAGTAAAGCTAAATACCTACCCGAAGAACTCATCATTGACATTTTCTATAGGCTCCCTGTAAAGTCCATTGGGCGGTGTAGGTGCCTATCAAAGCACTGGCGCAATTTTCTCTCAGACCCACAATTCATCAAACTTCACTTCAACCTCCACGCCCATACACAAGAAGAGAAACTCATTATCGTCACTTGGCAACGCGAACTTCATACTATCACGCTTAGCCACGACATCCTTGAAGATGCATTCATCGATAGCATTTCAACAGTGGTTGATTTTCAGCAGCTCACACATAACTGAATTTCTGTAGCTGGGTCTTGTAATGGTTTGGTCTTAGCGATTGATAGGGAAAATGTTCAATTTTTGATCAACCCAACTACCTTAGAATACCATAAATTTCCTGTTTTTGATTGGGCTCTTCCTCCGAAAACTAGCTGTTACATGTATGGTTTAGGGTATGATATTGTTAGTGATGATTATAAGGTGGTTTCTCTTTCTTATCGTGATACGAATAATGAATTTATGTCTAATACTTGTGTGGATTTGTACTCTGTGAGAAAGAGTCATTGGGAGACACTTGGGATTTCTCCTTATGATCATTCACTCACTGACCGTGCTTCTGGGGTTTTGGTTAATGGGGCTTTGCATTGATTGGCATGTAGAACTTTTGAATATTCAACCGCAATTGCTGCTTTTGATTTAAGTGCTGATAAATTCTTGGAGGTACCAGGACCTATTGATCTTCAGGATAATTGCTTTATGTGTAATCTTGCTACTCTTAAAGGGTGTCTTTGTATATCTACCAGTTTACCCCGAGACATAAACACAGTTACATTTTGGATCATGAAAGAGTATAGGGTTAAGGAGTCTTGGACCAAATTTAAGATTATAGAACCGAGTTTGGATGATTCTCTTAGTACGCTACTGTGTTCCATTACTGATGATGATGATGTTTTATTGGATGTCGACGAAGAATGGGTTATCTACAATCTGAAGGAGAATCGGCGTAAGGATCTGTTGATTGATGTAAATCCTATTACGCATGAAGCTCGAACTTTTGTTGATAGCCTTGTCTCTCCTTACTTTGGCAACGAAACTGAGGGTTCATGTATTGTGTGATGCACAAGATGATGTTGTAAACAGGTATTACAGGAACATGTTCCTCTGTATTATCCACCTTTTATCGTCCATCTCCTTTAGATTATTCAAAAGCCTCTGTATTTTCTTTTGTCTAGGATATCTATGCTTGCAATTTCAACAGTACTTTCAAGGATGCCCCTTTAGCCAATTAAGTGTAAACAACAGCATTTCATGGATTTACATCAGTTTATTGTAGTGCCACATACTACCAGATTCGTGCTTGCACAGGAATTAATCTGCTTCCTCTTAGTTCAAGTTGTTCCTTGTTCATCTTGCACTGCCTGAAGTCTCCAGAAACAAGGCGTGCTTTTGCATTACACTTCATGTCTTGGTTCACTATCATTCTGACGTCATAGAGAATTGAGAATTCACAGTTTCTGAATTCCTTGAATTGAATGGGATTGATAGAAATCAGTATATTACAACGAAAACAATGTTTGGCTCTGGGTACTTTGTTGAGTGGATGTGAGAATTTTTAATCTTAGTGTTGCATACATGTAACATTTTGTCTTTTGTTCATCATATTGTACTTCATATCATGTTATAAATTAGGGCATATTTGTCTAAAGAAGAATTGCGTCAAGTCATTGCTTCTTGGTACTGTCATTAATTAAAGTACTCGTACTTTATCAGAAAAGAAAAAAAATACTAATTGAGTCAAGTCATTCACCAGTTTATCGAGGTATAAATCCTTTAGCGTCTTGGCAGCTCATACTAGAATGGGTTCCTGAACCATTTTAGTGAAAAACTTGGCAAACTAGTTATGCTGAGACAAATGCTGAATTCACAGACATGTTGCAAAAAGATTTAAAAGAAAAAAGAAAATCCCCACAATATTTGAGGACAGGTAATACAATATATATTACAACTCATGAGCTGAAAGGAAGTACCTAACTTGAAAACCTTAGGGACTGTGTTATGAACAAAGCTAACTCTGTAAGGGTCTATGGGCTATTAGAGAATTTTATTTGGGATCCAGGCCCAACAATCATTTGTTAATTATGTCGGAACTTTGACCGCCAGTTATCTCTCATCCCCTTTCTCTGTTCTAGTATCTCATCCCCTTCTAGTTACCTTCTTCTAGGTTAATCTCTCCCTAGTTAGTGTGTTATTATTTTGTTGTGCGTATTCTACATTGTAACTTGTATGCAGTGATAAATATATATAATAGTGCTTGTGTTGGAATCAAGTTTGTTTCATACTGACAGGAACTATAACTAAAAGCATAAAAAATAGAGGTGAAACTGGCACTTGCTTTGTACTATATTAAGTTATTTTCACTTGTCTTTGGAAGGAAGGCCCCTCATTGTCGCCCTAGCAACTGGCATTAGTCTTATAATAGCAATCTGTAGTTGATCTGTGGTGCTTGTCTTGAAGCAATCTGAAGGTAAAACTGCTGGGTAGATTCTCTAAAATACAGGGGACAAATTATGTAGTGTACCTCCTTTAATGTATAATTATCAAGATCTATTACAACAAAGACTCTTTAAATCGATATTGGGTAGTAGTTATTACTTAGGAAGGTAACCATAAACAAGAAGTGGAAAACCTGTTGGTTAGCGGTTCTTGTGGTTTTAAACATGACATGTGAAAATTATAAACTAAGTATTGTAAAAAGACATTCTTTTTTAAATGGACCAAAAAAAAGTAAGACAAAGTAATTCAAACGAATAAAGTACCAAAATAAAAGCTTATTCCATTCCATGATGAACATACTGAAAGATAAAATTAAGATCAAAACTTAATCATCGATATGACATACTTAACTCTATAAATACGAAATTAAGTTATTGAACTTTAAATAAAGTAAGAAAAATCTATTCACCAGATCTAGATGACCCTTCGCCGGAATCGAACGAAGTGCTTTCCCTAGCTCTTAAAGGAGCGAGTGCACTTCCAATGGTTTGATATGGAAATTCAATACCACACTCCATAAGTTGGCTTGCTAGTTTTTCAACTTTTTTATCCGCAGCCTCCAAGGACTCGCACAAGATCTTAAGGTCAAAAAAGCTAAGTTTTTCATTTGAAGGTTTTGTCCTCAATGCTTGAAGTGCTTGTCCATGTTTTCTTTCTCTTTCGAGTGATCTCTCCAATTTGTTCAGCTTTTCATTGATCTCATCAATATTGGCATTTTGATGAGCTACAATGATGGGGTTAGGATCATCAGTGTCAGGTGGAGGATTCTCTCTGACAAATTTATCCACAATTGACTCGACGGAAGGGTATCTACATGCATATTCTTTGTTGCTGGGAGGAAAAGCTACAATAGCAATATTAGCACCGCCCAAAGTAGAGAGCTCACTTGCCTTTTTAAATAGGCCAGCACGTCTTTTTGAGAATGTTACTTGTAAGTTGGTTTGATTTTGATTCCTCGCAATTTCAATTCTTCTGTGGCCATTAGGTCTTCTCATGGCTAAGCTTTTGATTTGAGGATGTAAGAAAATGTGATGTTGAGTCTTTGTTTTAAAAATATATTTATACCGATAGAATCATCATATTATTTGATGAAAATGAACTCAAATAGCAAAAAAATAAAAATATTTATGATAATTCCTTATTCGGTAGGATTTGACCCAAATCATAATATTAATGAAATTCCTTTTATTTGTTTCATTCTATCTTTGTCAATCCGAACTATAGTAATTACAAATAACATATTTTTTTAGTTAAATTTATTTTACTGAATTATTGGAAAAGTTTTTGTTGTGTCATTCTTTTGTTATTTATGTTTTAGTAAGTTAATATGTAAATTGATGATAGTTGTCACAAAAAAAAGAAGTAAATTGATGATAGTTTTTGAGGTTTTTTTAATTGTATTTGTATATTTTCTATATTTTCTCTTGTTCAACTCTGTATATTTCCTAATGTAGACATGCTTAATAAAATACCTTCCACTATTAGCTTCATAACATAAAAATATTTAATTTCTAACTTATATTGACGTACAATTATGTTTAAGAACTTCAGTTTAAAATTTTAAGTTATTTTTGTGTGTTCGAGAACCTTTGTAACTCGTAAAGTATACTTGTAACTTATGACAAGTTGAAGAATACCGTAATAAGAAAATCTAAATCCTAACACAATTTAACATGTATAAACCACTTTAGAGTATTCTCATACACTTTATAGTTTAATATAAATTTTTAAAATGATACAACGAATTTGTGTCTCTTTTCTTATCTAACAAACTAATTAATATTTGAATATGATATGATGCTTTATGAAACAATATGTAATAACAATCAAAACAACGTGTAAATTGTGAATATTGTAGCACTCCATTCTATCAACATAACCTATCTAAGTTTACGATTTGAAATTAAAAGTATTAAATAAGACTAGATAGAGAAAGAGAAGAATTATATTTTGGTCATACACTAAAGAAGAATATATAGGAGTTGATACAACAATGAGTCCTAAAGTGATACTACAACTAATCCCAGTTGTACAAGTAGATAACTATGACATAATTAAAAATTATTCACATATATCTCTTTTACAGCCCCACAAATTGGTGTTGACATCTACAATACCCAACTTGTTAAACATAGGATTGAAAAAATCATGTAGAAGTGGCTTGGTTAGGACATCAACAACCTGATCAATAGTGTTGCTCCCAAATGCACACACAAGTATACGTGGTCGTAGAAGTAATTAATGACTCTTTTTAGAACTGGATTGTCGAACCCAAAGGACTTACGATCAATTTAAATCAATTCTACTAATTCCACAAATTAAATAAAATGTTCTCAAAAAACTTGTGTTTTCTATAGTACTATTGCAAATAACTCAACTTTAAAAATAACTAATAGTGACAACTTCTATTTCAGTGTTTTAAACAATAAATGAACATTTCCAGGGTTGTAGCTTACTTAAGGCTATATGTATCCCATCTCATGTATGAATTAATTAAGGTTATCAAATTATTGATTTACAGGGTTGATGTTGTGATCATGATCTCTCGACCTCTAATCGCCTATTCCAATTGAATGTTTAACTACATCATTGAGCAGGGATAAATAAACTCAATTGAATATCATTTATTTTTCATCCCATTTCATAATCAAGCCCGGTGTTCGTCCGAGTGTCAATCCTAACATGAATCTAAACAAGTGATATGCAAGAAAGATCAAGCCTTTTATATTCTTTGGTCTATCTGCATATTCGCCTCTCGATTTCAAGAATATACAATATATTTATATCAATGGTGGCCAATTACGAAATACTAAAATAAGAATACTAAAGTAATTTATATGATAACACAAATTAATCCATAAAAATCGATGTTCAACAATTACCCATAGCTACAACCCCAGAACAAAGGCTTGTAGCCACTCATACTATTCAAAAAAGCAAATACAATTGTTTTCATGAACTTCGAAATTAAAGAAAGTGTAGAAGATTGAAAACTAAGATGAATTGTTTATCCCTTGCTCTTGCACACAAAAAATAAGCCGACTTTCTACAAAATAAACCTAGGATCCTATTTATAGAGTTTAGGAAAATTAATCCCCACTCCTAATTAAATTTGGAATCCTAAGCCAAAATAATTCACCGGGAAAGTCGGGGTCAGCCTGGGGAGGTGCGCCAGTATCACCACAATATAATCAAATAAATAATCCCAATAAGAAATAATAAACAACAACACCCATAACGCTGATTTTAGAAATCAGGTCCAAATTGATCCAAACAGTCATTCCCGAGGATTGTGGTTAAATCTGGAATTTTCTATAAAATTATGATACCCAAAGATTTAGAAACTCATTAGTGAAAATCGTATTGAAAATAGATTTGAAATCAAGCTTTAACCTACATTTTTCTTAAACATCAAGTTCTTGTGAAAACCACAAAGTTTGAATTCAAAATTAGTGATTTGATCGTAACAATCATGAAATAGTTAGTGGGTAATGAATATGGGGAGCAAAATATCATTACCCAATCGAAGAATCTCAAAGAACCAGTTTAAAATCGCCTCTATC